CCCCGAATGCCGCCGCCATTGCGACCAGTCCCTCGCCAACATTCACCACCGATCTTGCCCACGTTCACCGTCGTCCGTTGCCAAGTTCGCCGCCTCCGTTCCGTTCATTACCGAAAGTCGCCGCCTCCGTTCCGTCCGTTGCCAAAGTTGGTCGGTAAGATCTTTTTGCTTGGTGTATTCATTTTTTTCATAATATTTTTCTTGTTTATGAGCTTAGAGAGGGATTTGATGTGTCTATTTGTAGTTGAGATTAATATCTTTTTATTTTAGTTATGGATGTTCTTACTAGACATTTGCAAGATAATGTACCTTGGTGTATGCTTTTTGCTGATGATATTCTTCTTGTTGATAAGACTAGAGAGGGAGTTGAAGATAAACTTGAATTATGTAGGTCAATCTTAGAATCTAAAGGTTTTCGCATAAGTAAATCTAAAACTTAATATATGGAGTGTAATTTTAGCAATAATAGATCTAGTTGAGGGATTGTGACTTTGGGCGATAAAGTCATTAATAAAAGTACACATTTTTTATATCTTTGATCTATTTATGGTGAAATAGATGGGGATATTATCAGTAGAATTCAAGTTGGATGGTTGAAGTGGATGAATGCATTCGATTTTGTTGTGTAATGGAAAAGTCCCCCTCAAACTAAAGGGAAATTATATAAGATGTTGGTGAAACCCGTAATGCATACAAAATATTCGCCATTAATAGATAAGCATAATATTAAGTTAAGTGTTGCAAATATGAGGATGCTCATGTGGATGAGTAGTAGATTTGCCCTTATAAATATGATACGAAATGAACATATATGTGAGAAGGTTGGAGTAACTCCAATGAAAGATAATATTAGAGAGTCTCCTTAGATGGTTTGGTCACATAAAACAACAGCCTTCCGAGTAAGCTAAGACTCTTTGTATTTCCCCTAAATAGAGGCTGTCAGATTTGTCATTGACAAGGAACTTATGTGAAATTAAAATTCATCTATTTTCATTCAATAAATGTTACAATAATATCTCATATATTCATATTATATGTATGCTATATTATGTATATCATAAATCAAACAAGCTAACTAGTAGATGCATATGCAGCAGCAGATGCAAATGCAACAAACTAAGTTGTTAGATGAAATGCGAAAAATGAGGAAGCAGTTTAGTGGGAAGAATGCAACTTCAATAGAGGAGACTGATTCAGAATAAATGTGTATTTTATTCTGGACATCTGTACTTATTTGTTTTTAGACATATGTACATATTTATTTTATGGACATCTACACTTGTTTATTATTGGATATTTGTTGATTATATTCTTCTTATTTTTGTTTATGTTTACATGTTTATATTCAATATTTGGTGATGTTTTGATTAGAGGTTTATGTTTGAATGTATATAGTATTGGAACATTTATATGCAGGTTGTATTGTAAAAATCAATTTCATAAACGGGAAGGTTGTTCTTTTTATTTATGTTATAGATTTCCGGCGAATGATCTGTTGGAAAGTCCGCTGACAATACGATACAAAAAAATGGATTTGTATTTCTGGCGGACTTTTACACCGGTATTTCCGGCGGATAATCTACTGGTACTATCCACTAGTTGTAGGGCGACAGATGATCTGCTGGGACTTACGGCGCAACTTTTCCGCTGAAAATACCGGCGGATTAAACACCAGAATCCGTTAAGAAAGGACGATGCATAAACATTATTTCTTTCGCCGGAATTGTGTTGGAATATCCGAAAAATTACGCCAGTAAAGATTTTACGATGCCCGAATTACCGTCGGATGGGGTTTCATACGAAATACTCTGGAAAATAAAATTTTCCGACGGATTTCTATTGTTACCGGCTAATTTGGTCCGCCGATAACTGGGCATTTTCCCGTAGTGTGTGTTAATACAACACTCATAAGAAGGTGATTCTCCAGGTACTTAGGATGATTTACGCTCAGATTACGCACAACAAATTAATAAGTCACTAGGTAAAGTCCCAACTATGTAAAACATAGAACATTGATCTACACATATATATTGAACAAGAAAATTGGGATCAAGATCCAGACACATAACAATAAGAATTTGAGGATGTAAAATTAGCTCCATCTAATTGTATGCTACTCAAAATGAAAGGATTAGAAAATTGGAATCAAAACTAATAGAGCAAAAAAATTTAGATCTACCCGACGTTCTAGTTATGAATAGATCAGAAAGACTCTAGTTAGGTAGCCTTGATGGTATTCTTTATAAAAAGAGTAATTTTCTACCCATAAAAAATTCAACACAAAGTCAACATGCAATAAACATGAAAAAACAATTCTATGATGCATTGGGAGATGTAATCTTTTCTTGTTTCTTACTAAGTCTTCTTGACAATTCTTTTTCTTTTGGTTAATAATATATTACTCATCTAAAAATCTGCTTTTCTGAGGCCATTTATTGAAGTTTAAGGAAAACTGGACAAGAAAAACATAATAAGATTTATAGAAAGACATTCTGGGAAGGATGATGGATAAGCTAGTCAGCATTTTTGGTTATGAATATATCTGAAAGTTCATTTTCTATCCCTTGGTAGCATATATAGCCTCACAGTTATGTGAAAGGAAAAAAGAATTATATGTTGCCAGGGTCTAAAAAAACTTCAAACAAAATAAAACCAAAAAACATAATACGATTCATAGAAAAATTTTAAAAAGACATTGAAAATTAGAATTCAAAACTTTCCATCGCACCCAACCATTTGTAAATTAACGACTTGATCATCTGACGATCCGATAAAACTCAAGACACCAAAATAAACTAACTGAAATTCGAATGAATTTAGCAGTAAACACAACAAAAAATTAATAATAATAATAATAAAACATATAAAACATCAATAGAAAGCTAGAGAGAGTTACCTCCCTTCCGGGATGGAAAGGAATCTCAGGCCCACCAGTGACCTCAACAGCAACAACTCCAGCAAGCTGCAAACAAGAATAATCAGATAACCGTCAATACAACAAGAAGAGCCGCAGGAAATTCATATACTGTCACTCAATCAAGAAACAAAGCGAGCAGATACACATACCTGGTAGAAGTCAGCGTACGAAAGGATCGGAAACTGCTGCTTGATCGGCTCCAGCAACCTGACGGCGATGTCAAGACCGTTGTTCGCCCCGTGTGCAAGCTCATCCGGGTGCCTTATCGTCCCGAAAGGCCCTCCAGTTTTTGTATTGACATCGTACGTCCCAGCCGAGTGCCAACTGTTCATATCCAACAATCAGTAAAAATCCATAGCAAATCTCAAAGAAAAATCTGTAAAATAACGTCGGCAGGATGGCGTTCGCAGTCGTACGCCAGTCGAAGGATCAGTGGAGCGCAGTTCTTCTCGGCGATGAAACCGCGGAGCTTCCTCCGAGCCTTCTCAACTGCTTTCAGGTACTCCTCGCTCACCGTCGGGTATGACTTCCCCATTGCGATCCCAGTGGCCGTACCGATCGAAGACCAAAAAGAGGAAGAAGCGAATACTAACCACGCGCTCCAACCACCCAATGGCAGCTAATTTTATACTCACGCTTACGCTTGCTTTAGGGAAGCTTCTCGTAGCTCGTCACGGCCGTTCGATCGTGTGACGGCGTAGCAACGGTATTGATCGGTATAAAATTATATATATATATATATATATATATAGAATATCAAAAAGAATAAATCAAGAGTTTACAATCCATCTTAGGATAAAAGGAAAAATAAAAAAGGCATATTTTAGGGAGGCTACAAGTAAGATTTGTAAAATAATATGTTCTGAAAATAAGAGGAGTCCAATTCAAGCCAAATAAAATTGATAGGATGAGTACGTTTAATGATCCATATCGCCCATAATTCATCGTTATCCATAACAAAAAGAATGATTAAAAATGAAAAGTAACAAAAGCCTAAATAGAAAGGAAACAAAAAATGCCTCTAGTGAAAACTTAATGAAGCAATCAAACACTCATCCTGGATCTAAAATCATAATAAAGTATGTATGAAGCATAACAAAGAATAGAAATTAATGCAAAAGAAAGATGGTGTCAAGAAGAACATTAAACTCTGTTGCCAGCTAGAAAATTCACAATGATAGAGTGAGTGAATTTTTGAATTAGTGATGCATGGATATTTAACACACAAATTAGTAGTTGTAGAGAAAGTAGAAAAATACCATAAATTTTTTACATGAAACAACCTAAAGAGGAAAAACTATGGAACATTCGCCAATATAAAAGGATTCCACTAAATTTTAGTGAATTACAAAGATTGACACATCCATTAACCTAAAGGCGATAGAATTACAATAGTCTGGAGAGTTGGGCGGAAGTCCGATGATGGTAGGGCAGAAATGCGATGGCATTGGGCGGAAGTTTGGTAGAAGGGTGGTGATCCGATGGTAGTCAGGGACCAGGCAGTTGTCCAATGATGGCCGGGCAAAACTCTAGTGATGTTCAACAATCGAGTGAAAGTCTGACAGCGATCGAGGGCTAGACCGTGGCCAAACGATTTTAATGTGGAAGTACAATAACGGCCAGTGGTAAGTGAAAGTCTGATAGTGGTCGGCGGTTAAGCAATGGTATGACGATGGTCGAACAAGAGTCCAGCAGCTTGGTGGAAGTCTGGCGGCGGTCGGCGAGCAGGAAGAGGTTCGATGATGGTCGAGGCGAAGACCGGCGATGGTCGAAAGACCTATGGAAGTCTAGCGACAGTCGGTGGCCGGGCAGTGGTCTGATAGCTATCAGTGGCTGGGTGGTGGTCTGGCGACAATTAGTAGATGTTCGCCGGCAGTGATGCTGAAGCTCTTGAAGCCTCAAAGCTCTCTTCAATCTCCAGCCAAAAGGTCCCCTTTATGTAGAGAGTGGGGGTTTATTTATAGATTTTTGTGAGTTGCACTCCCTATATATATGGAGAAGATCCATGGTAGGTTCGGAGTGCTCCATTGAATGACCCATATTGATCCCTTCGATTATAGAGCATTTTTCAAGTATTTAAGTGCCTTTATGTGTTGAAATTAAGCAATCTTAGGAGCATTTGTTTTGTCTTATCGAGCCGCTCGATCGAACTATAAGCATGTCATATGTATAAATCATTTGATCATCCAATTAATAGTTTTAAACCTTCCAAATATGCTTCAGTCCTTTGGTTTGAACCCATTTGGGCTCATATGAGACCAAATTTGGTGGCATTGAGTTCATTTCCTTTAAATATTCAATTTGATTACAAGTTTACTGAAATTAGAGTTTGGATAGTCCTCAATTTAATTTTGAAATTTTCCGACTTTGATATACCTTGATATACATGCCTGATCAAGGCAATTATTGGTAAAGGGAGAAGTATTATAGAGGAGATACTTTGATATACCTCGATATTCATGCCCAATCAAGGCAACTTTTGGTAAAGGGAGGATAGTCCCCAATTTATTTCATGATGAGACAACGGATGTTTCATATATTATTATTTTTTAACATAATAATTAGACTTCATGATTTACAATATATAATTATATCTAATAAGTATATTCATCTTTATTTCTTACTATTAAAAAATATTAAGGATGCAAATGATGATAAAACATAAATATCCTAATGCATTTCATCTCCATATTGATGGAAAAACTAAATGAGTTAATAGAACACTACAAAATTTTGATGAGATGCAGAATATTAATTAATTATAAAGGTTCCACTACAAAATTAAGATCAAGGGCTTAAATTCATCAAGAAATTAAAGGTTACAAATTCATTGCTAAGAAAATAATTATATGCATCCAACACGGGCCTTTATAGTGCCTTTATCCCACTATATGGGATTGGCTACATGAATCCATCTTCTCCATTGTGTCTTGTTAAGAGTCAAATTCTCATTTAAATCTAATAAAGAAAGATCATTTTTAATATTTTTAGCCAAGTCTTTTTAGGTCTACCTCTACCTTTTTTAACATAAGCCAAATCTAATACATATACTGTAAAGGCTGTTTCTCCCAGGATCGTCCGGGACAATCAGGGATTCATCCAGGACGATCTGTACAGAATTGTGAAGAATCTGCCTGTTCGTCTGTACAAACCTATAAGAGTCGGAACGAACAGTCGGGACGAACCAAACCCGAGGGTTTCATCCCGGGACGACGAAATTGGCATTTAATTTCGTCTGGACGATCTGTGTATATGGGAGATCGTCCCGGGACGATCCTGTGTATTAAATATCTGAATAGTGTCGTTTTGAAGAGAGAGAAAGTCCAGGAGAGAGAAAACCGAAGGAAAAGAGGAAAAAGTGAATTTTTGAGCGACTCTGGTCCGTTTTCGTCCGTCGCCGTAGTTGAAGAAGTTGACCGACACGAGGTAAGGCACATTCCGCCTTTCTCAATTTTCAAAAACGAGATTTTTGACGCATTTTCTGTTCCGTATTTTGTTTCCGTTAGCGAATTTCTGGTATTATTTTCTTCTGACAAAGGTTTTACCGCGTAAATTTTGGTATGTCTCTGAGATGATAATTGTGCACGTTTTGCTTATTTTCTGGAAGATTTTTACCAGATATTTTGGATTCTGCGGTGTTTTAATTGAACTGCAAATTATCAGGATGTTGAAAAAATTTTTATCAGTACAATGAAAGTCTTATAATATTGTTATGGATATTCTGTGGTAATTTGATAAATTTCTGAATCTGTGAATTTTGTGTAAATTCCGTATACTGCCATTATGCCGCTGAATTTTCGTACGATATCTGAATTTTCTGAAATAAGATGATTTGAATGTTTGATGTGTTTGTGCTATCAGAAGGGAGTTATAAGGGGCCAGAATCCTATGTGATTCCATTGTCTGGGTCAGGGAATTCTAAAATCTGAAATGAGCTCTGAAATCTGAAAATGTTCCGAAACCTCTGATATCTGTTCTGTTCTGGTGCTATAAGCACAACGGGAGACATAAATGGTCAGAATCCATTGAGATTCTATCTTTGTCAGGGACAGCTAAAATCTGATATCTGAATCAGTTCTATGAATTAATTAATTTCTGATTTCCGTACGATTTTGTCTGCTTTGTGATTTGAAAATGTTAAATAGCTATTCTGAACTCTGAGATGAAATATGATTTATCTGATTTCCGGCCATTCTGTGATCTGTTCTGTTTTCTGAATTCAGTTCTTCTGTATCTGTAATCTTATTCTGGATTGATCAAGTATCTTATGTTTCATATATGAATTCTATACGAGTTTCTGAATTTCTGGTTACTATTATTCTTATATGTTTTGTGTGAGATTTCTGAAGATTCTGATTGGTGATTGATGTCTTGCTGAGCTGTTAGCTCATCTTTATTTTCTGCGTGATTTTCAGGTTCTGGGAAAGGGAAGGAGGTCTTGGATTAGCAGTTCAGAGTCTAATCTGAGATTAGGTATTTTGTACTTTTAATTTTTGTACAGTCATGACTTATCTGTTCTTTCTGTCTGTAAGCCATGTACTGTATCTGTATATGATTGTTTTGATGAAAGAAAAGATAGATGAATTACTCTGCATTTGGATGATTATAGTAGCTCTGTGTCTTTCTGTCTATGTAACATTTGGAAGAAAGTTCTGAAGCAAATTCCAAAGCCAGATCCTGGATTTATTTGGCTCTGTCGCGATCCGATGCGAGCGGGATTTGTCCTGATCGGGTTGGGTCGTGACATATACTCACCTAACTGAGTCATCAAAAGGATGTCATTCTATGTGACCAAACAATCTGAGGCAACTCTCTTTAATCTTAACTTTCACTAGAGGTATTCCAACCTTTTTCCCATAAATTCTTATTTTGATCTTGTCTCTAAGAGTAAAGTCAATCATCCTCCTAAGCATCCTCATCTATGCTACACTTAACTTAATATTATGCTTCTCTTTTAATGGATAACATTTTACACCATAAAACATTGTAGGTCTCACCACCATCTTATAGAATTTTCCCTTAAGTTTGAGGGAGGCTTTTCTATTACAAAATAAGCTCATTGCGTTCCTCCACTTTAACCATCCAACTTGAATTCTACTAATAATCCTCATCAATTTCAATATCACTATGATAAATAGACATATTGAGCTCATTTTTGTATTAGGTCATTAGGGATCCATCCAGACTTTAAATCAATCTGGACCCTAGATCAATCTAGACCTCAAATTAATCCAGACCCCCAGACCAATCCAGGTCTCAAGTCAACCTAGACTTCAATCGAGTTAGACCTCAAACCATTTCAAACACTTGACCAATCTTAACCTTTAATCAGTCTAAACTTAGTCAATCCAGTCTCCAACCTGGCTTTAATCTTATCTAGTCATTTATAATCATCCAAATGATTATAAATGAATTAGATAATTTAAATCCAATCATTCAAACCTAAAACCAAGCTCAAGCCCAGAAATCCAGTGCCAAAAAAGCCCAAGTCCTTAAGCCTATTATGGGTAAATTTTCTATCACATGGAAACCCAATCAAATGACCTATGATTCATGATTTGTTAATTAAATATTGGTCATGCATGTCCCTAGGATCAACCCTCTTA